GAGGGGTCTGATGCAGAAGGAGGTTCAGAGATTTGCCAAAAATCACAAAGGAATATCGTGACAGCTGAAACGAAAACAAAATCTCCTAAATCTTAGCTTTATAAACACCACCCTTCTAGCAGTACCCAGAGTGTGCTAGATACAGTGCAAATGTGCAGAAAGGAATAGTACCTGAAGCACAGTACTCACAATCTAGGGTAAACCAGTAGTAAGCCACTAGGTAGAACGTAACAGTTAAGGGATCAGTGTTGTCGTGATAGGGTCACTACACCCTATTCCTAGATGTCCTTCACTTCTGCCACTGTCATGTGGCTCATCTCTACCTTACAACACCAGAACACAGGAAAGAAGTGAATGGTCTTGCACGTCAGCTCAGGAGCTATGCTATGAACAGATACACTGCTTTTAACATGCAGACAATTGTAAGGAAAATAAAAGTTTTTATGGGTGGGATAAATCTAACTATTTACCTGTAGTAACTGACTTTCTGACTTTCTCTATCCTTTATCTAACTACTTGTTTTCTCTAATAGAAAGAGCTATAATGCTGAATAAGGGTCCTTTAGAAGTTATGCAACTCTATCATTATTGCTCTGTACTAATAGTACTCTCTACTAGGTCTGTGTATAAAGCAATTTTGTTGAAGATAGTACTCTGAAAAGAGCAGGAGAGCACTAGTTCCAAATTTATCTGATTTCATGAAGTTGGATAAAAAAGCAAACAGTAGATGTTAAAAGCAGTAGCTCTCTAGTCTTCTAAATTTATAATGAATTATCATAATAAAGCTTTCAGTGTCTTAAATAATTTTAAAAACCTTTAATTTCTGAAGTATTTATTAGGAAAATTCATTATAAATTATAGGGTGTGCACATACATGTATATGCATCTCATAGGGTAGAGGTCTAGCAAATTTTAAGTTCTACGAAGAAGGTTGACAGGAGTGTAGGAGGAATCAAGTGAAGCTAGTTATACCTTTATTTTGGAGAATCTCACTTTCCATTAAAAAAGACTTTAATTTTCACAGTTCTGAAACTTCCAACTGTGAACGAAGTATCACAAATACAAGAATGTCTTCAGAGAAAATAGCTCTAGAAATACTTAACCCCCCCCCTTTGCCAGCCACCTGACTGAAGCATTATCAATAAAACCTACTGTTGATACTGTTCCATAGTTGATCACTGAACCATGGTATGGGGTTGGAGTGAAGAGGACATGGAGGAAGAGTGAAAAAAGAATGTAAACAGTAGCAGTCCTGAAAAAACACGTCATTTTCCTCAATAAAGGACACAATGAAGTCCTAAATAAATCAAAGATGATGATAAGCAAAGGTCAGTTATTACAAAAATGTTGTACCCTGTATGCTAGGCCTTGGGCAAGCTTCACTATGGGAGTGCTGAATACAGAACACAGTATTCTTCATTTATATCCCAGCTGGCAGATCACAAGTAAAACAGAAATCAAACCTCTGGATACACTGATAGATGCATTGACCTTATTCTGCCAAAACAAGAAGAGAAATGCCATAATATTCAAGTGTTGAAAAATACTATCCAACTGTGACATGGTTTTATACGATATGCTACACTAAAATCTTGTGAGCTCTTTCCACATAAAAACACACATCAACTGAGGTCCTGCCAGTAGACTTTACATTCTTTCTAACGTGTAGGACTGGGTTGCTGAGTTCATACCTCAAACTACTGCAGACAAAACATCATACATCAGCTTCACACCCTTTATCCCAAGCTTTGGAACAGAACCCAGCTCTCTTGACTTCCAGGTCACCACAGAAGACCACAAAACAATCCCTGAAGTACAATATTTGAATATATATAATTTTAATATAGAATGTTGATTTTTTGGGTAGCTCATTTTTTGATGAGCTTAAAGCAAACTGGTTTGATCAAAGTTAGCTTTTGGATTAAGAAGGAACATGAGACATACCGGTCCCAAGAATATTCCTTTAAAATAAGGAAGCTAGATGGGACTGCTAAAGGTAAATTCACGTATGTAGGGCTAAAAACACATTAATGTATAAGGTATGCTGTTATTAGCCATTATTTGGCCTGACTCCTGAATTCCAACATGATTTTAAATATGATCCCTTACTTGTGATAACAATAGTATCATTTAGTAAATGATACTAATGGAAAGTCTGCTTCATGTAAAAAAACCAAATAATACTGAAGCATACTTACTGTAAAAAGCCTATTAGGCAACTTTTCTGCAGTGTCTTCATCTTATTACTGAAGGAAAACACTTCAATATATAAAGTCAAACTCATACATTCACATTTTTGTGGAAGAGGAACAAAGCAAGTCATCTCGTTACATAAAGTCAACCTCTGAGTGCTTTGACAATGAATACTGAGTCAATCTTCCCGTTGAGTCAGGGTGTATACAACAAATATGCTCTACTTGAAATGTAAAATTTAATTCCAGCACGATCACTTCAGGGACCAGTTCTGCAAAGTACAGCAGCCATGGCACGGCATACAATTGCAGTATAAGTAACTAGACACTACTGCTAAACACATTTTAAAGCCTATTGTACAATAGCCTTTGTCTCAGTAAAGCTATTTTAACCACAGACCATGTTTGTGCGAGCAAGTTTTTCTACCTGTTTTTCCACTGAACCTGAGCAAATAATTCAGTGACTAATTTACGTGGTACATTTTCATTTGTTGTCATTCATAAATGACTTATAGCTTTAGCAGATGTATTGATTTTGCTTTTACATATGTTTTGTTTTTTTGTTTCATTATAAAGAATTCTTTGCAAGCTGTTCATCGTCCATGCTCAAAAAAAACCTTCAATTTTTCAACTGTGGAATTTTAATTTGACTGGGTATCACTAGGTATAGTTTTGGTTGTTTGATAAGAGTCACCAGCCTATGACTTGTAACTATAAATCACATAACTATCAGTTCCTCTGAGTTCAAGCAAAGCCACAAACTATAGTTTCTCTCTGGTCAAAGAGAGCTGGGAAGAGAGAAGATGGTGAATTTCAAAATATCTTACTTTGATGAATGGCTTTGGAGAGCAGGGAGGAAGGCAGAAAGCACAATACAAAAGGGGAGAACAGATGAGAAATACAAAAGAAATCTCCAAGAAACCAGAGAAGTAGCAGGAGAACCTTCTGCCATAATTCACTTCATGTAAAACTGATCTTTACTGATGTTTTGCCACATGATTCACATCAGGCTAGTGATACATTTATTTATGCTTCAGGCAGTGTGGTCTGCCTTAGTTCTGAAGGTCCCTCTCTGTTCACAGAGTTTATCCCTCACCTCAGTACAATCTTTTTATCACTTTCTTAATCTGAAATAATATGCTCAATGCTAGTTATAGGTTTTAAAGATATACATTAAAACATTTAAAGAGTATGTTCACACATATATTCAAATGAAATGGAAGTCTGAACGCATGAAACATCCTCCGTAGACATAAACTGTATCACACCTTCCTGAGCTACTTTTTTGTGTCAACTTCAAAGCATATAAAACCCTAATGCATTTTCACTATTTTAAGAACTGTATAAACATATTAAACATTTGCTATTTGCGTATTTGAACACACTATAATCTTGATCCTATGAGCCATTTTCCTATGGCTTTCCCACTGCCCTATTTATCTTTCCTGACAACTTGCTGGAAGATCTTTTAGTCACAGCTTTTCTGTAATTCTACACATTTAATTATTGCAATTGCTGATTTGTGCCATACATAGTTTTGGTTATAATATGTGAATATTGAGGTATTTACACATACACACACATACACACCATTAGTAACTCTTAATTTCGTTCAATATGCTAATTTAATTATTCATTTAATCTGTCAAACTTTTCCATTAAATTGACTCAAATACTCCAATGTAGTGTCTTACTGAAAGAAAAAAAAACCCAGAAGTTTGAAAGAAGTTGATTGATTTTCACGTGTTTTATCTAAAACATACCTGTATACTAACTTCTAAACTTATTCCCTACAGGTCAAAAACTCATCCCATTGAAATGAATGGCATATCTAGTTCAAGAGGCAAAAGTTCAAACCTTAATGCTTTGAAATAGTAACCATTTTATCAGGCACTTCAAAAAGAACGGATGCTTCTGTAAATTCAATTATACATGATTGGCATTCTGTCTGCAAGACAGATTCACCTTGTGGGCGTTTTGTCCATAAGGCTTTCTGGACAATCAGGTAAAAAACTGCCAGTTCAGCTGAATGACAAGAGAAAAATAAGGGACTAAAAAATGAAAAACAGAAATATTCTGTGAGCACAACAGGTTTCAAGCACTTTGACTGGATTCAGAAATCCTGGAGAGTCAGCTAAACCATCCAATCGTTCACTTACATTTAAGCAGCAAATCTAAAACATGTGCTATGAAGAGGAATTCTGTCTGAAAAATTACCAACAGGGAACATGCCATGGGAGCAAGCTCTTATTATCAGCGCTCTCTGCCTTTCCTTCTCCCTGCTCCTCAAACACATGGGAGGCATTAGCACTATAGGAATTTACTTGATAAGCAGCATACCTATTTCCTTTCTCTTTTGAACATTTTGTATACTACACAGCACAAGAAAACTGAAAAGATGAGTGTTCTGCCATAATCTCATTTCTGACAAGATCATTTTAGAATTTTTACTCTGAATACTGGGTGCTAAAAACATTTGTACTTCATTCAACAAATGATACACCGTATTAATATACAGAAGAAACCCAGAAAATAACACCTCAGTAGTTTTTTTGTGTGTATGCATGTAGGTTTTTTTTATTTTTTAACTCATTTACTGCCATCTCCTGGTACTTACAAGGTAATAGTATTTACGCTATTTAACAGCAGCCAGTACTGCTGTTCAGTACTACCAAAATGCTGAAATGCCAACAACTTCTCACAAATATTTTCAAAATAATTGCTGTACTTTCTACATTGCTGTCTTTTATTCTGGAAATAGTGAATATTGTTCCTTGGGCACAAACTGGTAAAAGGTTCATGTACTTACCTTCGTCTGGAAGCAGCAGTAAAGTTGTGTTAGGTATGGATGTTTCCGTGCTAATGCCAGAATTCTCTTTTCTGTCATTGTACAGTCTACATCGTCATCTTGAAGTATGACATCTTTCTTCAAGACTTTCACTGCGTATACTTCATCTTTTCCTTTTAGCTCAGCTAACATTACCTAAAACAAACAGAAATTCTGTTTACATATGAAAAACAGGTATCATAAGTGCAGGGTTGTATATGAGTTTGACTGCACTGGAAATATAAAGACAGTTACATACCTGCTTAAATTTAAAGTAATGTGATTTTAGAAAAAGATACCTCTGGTATCCTTTAAATTTGAAACAGACAATATCTATTTCGTTTGTTAGTTAAGAATGCAGAAGATAAATTTTTTTTATCCCCTCATTCAATATCTTAATGAGTGCCTATTAATGAGATCTCAAAAACTAAAAAAGGAAGGAAGTTGGTATAGAACAGAAATTTATTTCCCTTTTATCTCCCACTTTTCATAGTGAGATTTGTGTGTGATGAACTTAGTATACAATCTCACGTACCATTCCGGACACTTTAAAGTTGTTGGTTTTAACTACTACTATTGTTTAAGGTTCAAGTCCTATACTCTGTTTAAGGTCAGTTCTGGCTTGGAGCCAGGGTAGTCTTCAGACAAAGGATTAGAAAACAGGGAGACAAAAGAACTGCTTCAGCTCTGTCCCTCTGCATCTGCAGTTCCCCTGTACCAAGGAAGGAAGAGTGTACTTGTGAAACATTCACATTTCAGTTCTACTCTTTGATTCCACTGTGTACAGCACTGTGAAAAAAATCTGTAAGCCCTGTGAATAGAGCAATGCCCCTTTCACCCTCATCAACTCCCTACTGTGGAAAGGTATCTGGTGAGTTACATCTTTGCTGCATACATGGTATTTTGGGCAGCTGTCTAAGCCTCTTGCACTAGTTGTATGTGAGTGGAAATGCTTGAGTTCTGCTTCCTCCAGCACAGAACAAATCCACCGAGGAAAAACAAACACACAGACTGCTGTGAAATAAGTACACTTGAACTGGATATTATCTAGAAAGGAAATGAACTCAGAACTTCACAGCATTATTCCTGGGCTGATTTGTCCTGCTTGACCACAACTAATTATCTTGTTGAATGGTATCTATGTAACTGTACGTATGTCTTCACTTATTACCAATATCCTGAAATAGTGAACCATTGACAGTGTGTTTCAAAAGGCTTGACTCTAGTTAATGAAGTGAGCTCAAGCACATAAAATGCCACCTGATCAGGAGGCTGATATTCCTGATCTGTGGGGTAAAAGCTGCTGCAAAAGAATGGAAGGAAACCCCTGGGATGGAAGAGCTTTTAGAATGTCACTATGAATACTTTCAAAGCAGTACAGTCAAAGAAAGCCTGCAACACCAGGGAGGGGGGTGGGAGGGGGGAGGGCAGCGGAAGGGAAGCTACCTACCTTGCCAAAGCTGCCTTTCCCTAACACTTTGATGAAGTTGAACTCTTCGAGGCCTATTCGCTTGGTCTGGGCCTGTTTGACCTCCCCATTTTCTCCATTCTCCCCAGGTTTGTTAAGCTGGTTGTCTGTTGATGTTGTAGCTGTTGCCCTGTGTTCCTCTCCCCGATTGTCAAATGATAATGCTTTCCTAATGTTGTTTTCCAGCTCTTTGATTTCTGTGGAAATGTGAGAAAATGTGTTCGTTTTAACCAAACATCAGAAAAACAGCCTGTGTTAGTCTGTATCAGTTTTGGGAAGGGACATTCATCATCCATGAATGCTGCGTAGAGCATTCTGTGGTTAATACATATTTAGGAAACTGCTTCTCCACCTTACAGTAATCAGCCAAAATCCTGCTCTAACAGGAAGGGTGGCCTTTTAAAATGAACCTAAGAGAATGACATATCCAGAACTTGACAGATAAGTCAGAATAGTGGCCAAATAGTAGTTTTAGTGATTTTGGGTGTTCCTGTACCACAGAGAAGTACTTTGTTTTGAAGACCCCTATCTTCCTGCAGCACTTACTCATCTTCCTGCTTCTGTATTTTAGAGTTGTATCTTCAAAAGTTCAAAGGACAGTTGGGCGTCCCAGTCCTTGAAGTCAACATGAATGGAGCATCTTACTCAGCTCCAGCTGTTATCAGATGCCTGCCAATAAAGTATTTTGACCACTTCCTAGTGCCGCTTCAAGCTACAATTGTGTAGATCTGCTAAATGGTTCTGAAGGTTTGTTTCTCAATGCTAAACACAGTGAGTCCTGGCGACTAACGGACCTCAGGGTCTGCCTCAAGCTCTTGCATGGTACTTCTGCCTGATGGCCTTGGAACCAACAACTTTACTGGACAGCTACAAAAGTGAAATTTAAGAGATAATTTAGACAAATTCTTTGTTCTTATATTAAGCAAAACATCAGATAGTTAAAAAATACTATTTAACCAAAATGCTGTCTGTGAAACAAAAAGGTTGACAAATTTCAATCAGTTCTGGACTCAGAGTCTTACAGTACTTATTACCATGGAGCCTTGGAAGTCTCTTCCCTAAAAATAAGGGTGAGAAATTTTTCAACTGTAAATAATTTTCAAAGAATTTGACACAAAAGTATCTGTCTTCCTAGGTCTCGGTGTACAGATTTTTCATTCATCAGTTTACACACATCATGGCACATAAAGATACCTCACAGACTTCTGATTTTTAAATACATCAGTCAGATCAGATTCAAAAAGTACTGCTGACATACATGTTCTGTCAATCAGGCTGTTCAGCTCAATGAAATCAGGTCATATCAGGGAAGATTAAATATTTGTCTCCAAATCTATGCATGAGAAAAATCACTGAAAGGAAACACGGTTTTTACAAAGCCTCTAGAGACCACAGAGACACGCTAGCATAGCCTAACTGGACGGAAGTTTTTAGTATCACAAATGTTCAACATGGAATTACAAGGAGGCAATTTTATCTCAAAAACTTATTAACAGATAGAGGCTTTTCAGATAGATAAAGGCGCTCTCAAGTTATGTGGCACTATTAAAAATGTTCTCATTCTTACAATAGAATATATAATCTCCTTACATAAAAGTATTTGGTTAGGCAAGGACTCATCTAGTAAACTTAATATTTTAAGATGACTGGTTTATAATTTTCCCTTTAAAAGCTGCTTAATTTCACAGATTTAAATGAAATGAGAAGTAGGCATTTTAAAAAAGTTTTTGCAGTTCATAACTTTCTTAAGTGCTTCATTTTCTGGTGGTAACTACTTCATTGATTTGATTCTACAAAGGCTGGGGATGATAGCATTTTTATTCCTCATAAAGAAGGAAAATATGTGACAATATACGTCAGTTAGGAAATAAAAAGAGATGTTTGACCTTGATCACATGGAGAAGTTGGTGCTGACTTTGACCTATCTTCTTCTGATGATGCACTTCCAGGAACTGGTTGTTGAGTCTCTGCACCTGCAATTAGCTAAGAACAATTCCAAAGGGGTACTCAGCTACAAGATCCTCCCGCGCCAAGAGGAAATTTAGTTCAACAACATTAATTCGCCAGTAGAAGTATGAAGGAAAATGAAGATGTTCTACTCCTATAGACTCTCACTGGCAGGACCTCAGCCATACTGTAGATGGCATCACATCAAATTGAGACCATAATACAAACAGAGAAAGAACTGGCAATTTAAAGAAAAATAGGTTCTTAAGATGAAATAAATGTAATAAGCATATCCAGTGAGTGGGAAAGTTTTGAATAGCCACCTTGAGCCTGTGTAGAAATCTACCCAGTAAATACATTTAACTACAACAAGCAAACTAACTTATGCAATAACAAAATGACAACATCTTTTCCCAGGAGTCACAGATCAATTAATTTATTCCTGAGTTTTCTATGTTTCTGTAACATTTCAAAACAGTGTAAATGGGATCCAAGTGTGCAATAATCAGGAAAATTAACAGAAACAAATGTCAATGTTTTAACAAATTATGGTAAAATTTGCCTATTTCTGCAAGTGAGAGCAATGGGTCTGTTGTCACAATCATGCAAATAGAGATAGAAAGTGTCACCAAATTCTGATCCAGGATACATATTACAAATCCAGAATAACTCCACCAGTTTTGGATGTACTTGGGGTGACCTCTGCTTTTTATTTCTAGAACAGCCTAGTTCTTCCTATAATAGTGATAATAACTCTGGAACTGTCATCTAGCAAACAGCTCCTCTTCATGTGACTCAGCGCTTTGGCTCATTTTTCAGCATTTACAATACTACGGAGTAGTGCTGTGTCTCAATCAGTCAATTATCCAATGCCAATTCTGAGTCAAAGAGACATTTATGTTTTTATGAACTGTTGTGTCAGACACTGTCTCACTGTCAAATCCCCTTTCTCAAAATTAAAAAAGGAACTCCTTCCAGACTCTATACAGACTCCAGGTTTGCAAAATTGTAGCAGGTCAAAATAATTTTCATATCAAAATTCAGAATAGATGATTTGCACTTCAAACTTAAAAGCCAAAGTCTTAGTTCTGTACTGACTTAAAAATAATTCTTGTGCAAGTCAAGTGAGTGGGGACTGAACCCCAACTAGTGAAGTTACAGTACAGCCATACTTATCTCATTTCTTATGTGACACTACATAGTAAAATTACCTTTTTCCTCCTCTGCCCACTATTAGTGATCTTATCTGGAGTGACTCCAAGATCTGCAAGAACTTTAGCTATGCCTCTAGCATCCACTCCACAGTTTGGTGCCACATTTGTTTCACAGCGTCGATGTACATTCATCTTGCAAACTGCAATGAAATATAAAGTCATAGAGTAAATTAAATACTACCTTGGCATGCATTTGTCTTACTTAAATCAGACCTTATTGGACCCACCAATAACTTTTTCAAATAAATATAATTTCAGTAGAAAAATACTTAGCTGGATTTGCAGTGACGCTTGAATGCTAATGTAAAATTATTAACCTGGTTATCATTCTTCTGCTATGATAATGCAAAATCGTGCTTCAGACAGTACCCACAACAGGCACAGGAACAAATGAAAACATCTAATGATCCTGTAAATCTTAAATAGAACTTGAACTAGAAGAAAAGTCCTTCAGAGCTTGGATTTTAGCAGTCTGCTTCTGCTCTCACACTGAGAGCGCAACATCAGTTCCTCATGTATTATTGCTTCTTATTGTATTTTACTCAAGCAGATTAACTCCTAATGTAGGCAGGCATAAAACCAACAGTGTTTTAAGTTTTAATAAAAATCTTTGG